GTGTCCCTTTAATTTCTTTCTTCTGTCTAATTGTTCTGGCTAGTGTTTCAAGACCTAAGTGCCTTGTTTCTGAAAAAGTTATTGAGGTGCTTGTGAGATGGTCACAGAGAGAGATGCCCAGAAGCCCATGGGCGTGAGCACACAGGAGGCCTGGGTGGTGCGGCCTAGGAAGGATTGTGTGGAGCAGGGTCCTCAGCCTTGCAGACCCAGCGTTGCCATTCCAGGTTATGCATCTTGTCACTCTCCTGAAATAAGATTCATACAGCAGGGAACCAGCCTACACATATCATTTCAAAAAGAAATCATCTGGGGCTGGGGATGTGGCTCAAGCGGTAGCGCGCTCGCCTAGCATGCGTGCGGCCCGGGTTCGATCCTCAGCAGCACCACATACCAACAAAGATGTTGTGTCCGCCAAGAACTAAGAAAAAATAAATAAATGTTAAAATTCTCTCTCTCTCTCTCTGTCCCCCTCTCTCTCTCACTCTCTCTTTGTAAAAAAAAAAAAAAAAAAAAAAAGAAATCATCTAATGTTAGGTCTGTACAATCAGAAAGAAAGCGAGAGCATTTAGGCACAAAAAAGGACTAGAAGAAGGTTTCCCAAATTTGAATCTGCTATGCATAGGATTCCCTCACCCCACCCCTGTCCCCTACCAAAATGCAGATTCTGAATCAGCAGGTCTAGGTGGCCAGCATTCTGAATGTCTGATGAGCTCCAGGTGAGACCCATGCTCTGCCTTTCGGACCACATTCAGAATAAAGAGGCCCTGGGAGACATAATGAGGTCATGTAAGTGCCTGTATTGCAGAGACACCCCAAACATGCATCATACATGAGGTCCCCACAGAGTGTCAAATGGTATTTCAAGTATCATGGAAAGCCCTGCCCACAATGACTTTCTTTTCTACTGTGGTAGATAACTCCCATTAAAATTCCCAACAAACAAGGTGCAATTTCTTTTTATTAGATAGCTTCATTTCTAGAAAATGCAGTGTTTTAAACTATGCATAAAAGACTGTTTTAAACTATGCATAAGTTCTAGGCTCAGATCATTCATTATAAAAAGGTTTTAAACCAGGGAATGCCTTTCATTCCCAAAGGGACACTGGGCAATATCAAAGGTATTTGGGTTTGTCACAGTTGGAGTAAAGAGGTGCTCCTGGAACCTGGTGGGTAAAGCCAGGGATGCTGCTGACCTACGATGCTCAGGGGTCTCCTGGAGCATAAAGGCTCTGGTTCAAGTAGGGGACACCTGCCCTATAGCAAGAGTCCAACAAAGTGCACAAGGAAAGGCCACGCCACTGGTACAAGGTGTCTCCACGTTGCAAAGTGCCCCACCTTCCCAGCCCCTGATCATTGAGTACCAGAGGTGCCCCTCACTGTGGCCATCCCAGAAGGCACCTAAGGACAGAAGTGCAGCTGGAGCAGCTGTGGGAGGGAGGAGTGCACAGGACAGGGAGGACCGAGCCAGGGCAAGCGAAGAGGAAGAGCCAACTCATGACTCCCCAGAGGTCGACAAAGGCCAGCGCGACCCACTAAAGTATGTGTGGTTCCGCCCATCTGTTGGTGCCGCTGAAATTATTATGAAAATAATTGCATCTCTCCGCCTGGCTCTCCCTCACAGCCGAACACAGCCAGTGACTTTAGATATAGGATTAAAATTGTTATTTATTTCTGTTTTATTTTTATCATAGTAGCTCAACATATGAAGGGGAAGACCACATTCAGCAACAAAGCCTGGTCTAACTACCACTCGAGAGGCCTCGATGCTATTTTTCTTCTTTTTTTTTTTTTTTACCATTCATTCCAAACAGAGAGAAAGAAGAACGCTAGTTCTCTTATTCTCCCTTTCTTTGTGTTCTAGTTTTAATTTTCTGCTAAAGTCTCATCTTAAGACCTAGAGAAAAACAAGGTTTGTTTCTTGTCTTTTAAGGTAAGCAATCATAGGGGGAAAAATAAAAAACAAAACACCAGTATATTGCCCCAAAGTGGCCTCAGATTCAGGCCTCCTCTTTGCCATCCTTCTTGTGGTACAGGGCACGGAGCTTGCCAAGCATCCCCCACTGCCATCAGTCCTGGGGGCATAGGAGGGGCTTCTCACGTAGAAATAGCCTCCCAGCCAGGCAGAAACAGAGACCTCGGTATCTGGAACTCAAAAGTAGCTGCATTCAGATACCCCTGGGGAAATGCCTCTCAATTACTAATAATGCTGAGGTCCAAGCCTTTAAGACATTACTAAACCTTCATGGGCAATACCCGAAGCAGTGGTTAAAGAGACCAGAAGGACAACAGGCCCGATGGCTTCTCTGTTTCCAAGCTGACAAGTGTCGCCACTGTGACCACCTGCATTGGCGTGTTGAGGCTGATGGGGCAAAGGGCCTGGCCTAGCCTGGAACCCACGAGTGGACACACAGGATGTGTCATTTCTGCAACCGGATCCTCTTAGGATCCAAAAGGCCAAAGAAGCCAAGCAGAGAGTCCCAAAAGTCAGTAGTGAAAGCAGAAACAAGCTTGCAGCACGGAACAAAAATCTAGTCCTCAAGTTCACCTGTGAGTGTTGCATAGAGAAGAAAAGAGTTATCAGTCAATCTGGCGAGCACGAGGTCAGCCAAGGTCTGTGTCCGTGCTGGACTCCTCAAGTCTAAATGGGCTGCTGTGTGTTATGTCTCCAAGAAGGAGGCGGCAGTGTCGTTTTTCTCCTCTTTCTCCTTCTCAGAGCAAACTCTGCCCTAAGAGAAGCCTAGCCATAAGAATCTGGGTGTTGCTCAAATCTGGTGCAGCGTCAAGGAGGTGATCAGTAAAACAGGCCCAATAAAGCTTCTGCCTCGTTAATATCCCAGACAAGAAGCAGAAAACAAGGACCATAAACACACCTCATGGGACGTCCTTGGGCAGGGACTTCAGCCTGCCTCACAGCGGAACTCTGGAGTAGCGTCCGGCCACTCTCTCTCTTCGACCCATCTCTTGCCTTCCAATCACATGACCACCCTCCTTGGGGTTTCTAGGCCTGCCAGGGTCCCAACCAGGCCAGACACTGCAAGGGACCTTTGTCCCTGGAATGCACATCAACATCAAATGGCTCCCTCCACTGATAGCAAGCCAGGTGCTTATCTGTGACCTAGGAGACGAAGTGCGCAGGACCCGCCACTGTGGGAAGGCCTGAATTTAAAGCCATCCTGTTTTTCCCTAGCTGTGAGACCCTGGACAAGTCACTTCTCTCTCTGAGACTTTTTATTTCATTTTTTAAAATGAATTTGTTTCAAGAGTTAGCAGTCCTGTGCTTAAAGGTACCTGGGATTGGGTAGGTATCTAAAAACGGGTTGATAGAACTGGTGTTGTGCTATTCCTTGCTGAAGAATCATTTGAAATGCCCACTGTGATCCTCTTGTGAGCAATTTCTCTACACATGTCAAGTCTTGTATGACTTGTATTAATTTGTCTTTATTTTTCTACTAAAAACTTGTAAGCTTTTTTTTTTTTTTTTGGTCCAAAAAGACTCCTCATATTTAGATCCAAGATGGTTCTCACTAAAATGAACATTACCACTAAATAATAGATTTAAATAAGGAATTGCACTCAGACCGGACTGATGGAAATCACACTTTCCCTTCCCACATGGTAATCCAACAGCAGAATTTCTGGGAAAATAAATCACCCCATTAGTTTTTAAATAGCATGCCCCCACCATGAAGAAGTCCACAACTTTTGACAAGAATTCCAGGCATGGAATTTAGGCCTATAAGAATATACCAACATACTTTTTAAAAGCTTTAAACACAAAGATGTTCATCACAGTGTCATGTATTATTAAAAAGCACTGGAAGCAAATTCAGTGTCCAACATGACAAGAACATTTTAGCAAACTATGATCATGTATGTGATAGAATTAATGCCACTGTTCACCAAGATACTTTCCACAGAGAAAATACACACAGGGGCATCGTACAACCAGAACCTACTACCACATACACTTAGGAGAAACACATGAGGAAAGTCAGACCAGAAAGAAATGTATCAGAACATACATCCACAAGAGCTTTCCCTGGATAGAGAAATAAGAGGTTAAGTTTTTTTAAGATATTTTATAATGAAAAAAGTCACACATTATATTATTTATTTTTAATTTTAGTAAAGTAACACAAAATTTATCATCTGAACTTTTGGGGGGAGGTGGGGTACTGGGGATTGAACCCAGGTTGTTTTACCACTGAAGTATACCCCAGCTCTTTTTATTTTTTAGGACAGGGTCTTGCTAAATTGCCCAGGCTGGCCTCAAACTTGCAATCCTCCTGCCTCAGCCTCCCAACTTTCCACCAGTTCATCTTCACCATTTTAGTATATTGACACTGTTATGCAACCAAAAATATCCATCCCCAAAAATCTTTCACCTTGCAAAACTAAAGCTCTGTGCCCACTAAACAAAAACTCTCTTTTCCTCTCTCCTCTCCACCCTCATCCCTTGGTAACCACCTATCTCCTGTTTTATGATTTGTCTACTCTAAATACTTCAGGTAAGGGATATCATAAAGAGCTTACCTTTTTGTGATTGACTTTTCTTTACTTGACATAATATCTTCAAGATTCACCCATGTTGTAAAATGTGTCAGAATTTCCCTTCTTTTGAAGGCAGAGTAATATTCCACGGCATTGATGCACCACACTGTTTATCTATTCACCCACTGACGCGCACTTGGCTGCTTCCACCTTTTGACGAGTGTGAATAATGATGCTATGAACATGAGTTTGTAACTATCCCTTTAGTACATAAGTGTTTTCATTTTGTTTTTAATATTTGAACACTTTTTTTTCCTGAGTGGGCTCCTCTTTTTATGTCCCATCTTCTGGTTCTATCAGACCCTGGCCCAGGTTAACTCGGACTCCACTCTGAACATAATCCAAATGCAGCAGAACCACTGGGCAACTCCACTACCCTGGAGAAATAAGTGCCTGGGCTGTACCTCAGAAAATAATGCATCTTTTTGTTGTTCTGATCCCCATTACAGGACAAATGCCTTAGTCTCCGCTTTCCAGCCTGGACCCCCACACTGAGCCCTTCTTCGGCCCACCGCCCTGCCTGCTTCGGGCACTGAACTCACTGACCTCCTCCTGACACCCTGCACCAAGAAGACTGCCAAAAAAAAAAAAAAACCACCCCGCATTTCTCTCCATCCTCACTAACAATTTGGTAATGAAGTATTGATTTCCACTTCTCCGCTGATGGACGATATTAGATTTTCATTGATAAACTGCATTGGGCTGTCTCGTCTCCACGGTCCCCTTTTCACGGTCACAAGAAAACAAAGTGCCACTGAAGAAAACTAATGACTGGGAACACTGATGCGCTTATTTTGTCAGTCTGTAACAGGAAAGGGAGGGGTAGTCCTCGCCGGCCAACGGCCGAGGGGGCCGCCCGAGATGCGGACACTTGGAAGGCTGCTTTTGGTGGTGATGTCCGTTTCCTATTTATAACCCCTCTGGGAACGTTTGTCTAAAGGAAATGTTTCTGTTCAGTGTAACAATTACGGTTGCACCTGGATTGCCCAGGCCTGCCCCTGCGCTAGGGAGCCATTAATCACTGCAAAGGAGAAGAATTATTAGGTTAAGGCCAGAGCTGGAGCCAAGAAAGCCTCCGAACAGTGTTCGTCTTCTGTGAAAGTTGTGCAAATAGTTAGCCTTAGCCGTGCTGCTGCCAAGGACTTTTTCCCAGGCAGCGGTAGGCATCTTTATCATGGTCATTATCTGGATTGGTTTAAAACCTAGTTGTGAGCCTGCAGCCCTGTCACAGGAGACCTGCAGATTGGGAGAAGGGGCGAGATGTAGAATCTGAGAAAAGCAAGAAGATGAGCTCATGGCAGGGTGGAAAGTTCAGCAGCGGCCTTTTCTGGTCATCCCTTCTTGCAGGACTGGTTGTTTATGGACTCTGGAACACAGCCGAGCTTTAGGACCAACAGAAAGCGTGAAATAGGGTGTCCATTTTAAATGTGTTCCTGCAACTTTTTTCATTAAAACTTTAAGGGCCCAATTTTAATTTGTGGAATATTCCCGTTAATAATGAGATCTAATTAAGACATCCATTAAAAGCCCGTTAAAGTTAATTTAACGTAAAAATTCCAATAGAACTGTATTAGATTTTCTCCATTAAATTAACGTTATGGATTTTTAACGGATGTCTTAATTATACGTTATTATTAACGGGAATACTGTATTACACAGATTAAAATCAGGTCCTAAGTCAACTTGGAAAGCTAGGAGCATGTTTTAATATTAAAAGTCTTGCATACCTAGCGTGCAGTTTGGAAGGGGTAGATCTGTTTATTCTATACAATGGAAAGCAACCTACAATAGATGTATCCATCAATGCATTTAAACAATGAATTTTCTTATTCTCAAAGGACAAATAAATATGGATCATGTTGTAAACTGCTACTCAGCTATAGGTGAAATATTAAGCTACTCTAGGCATAACACAAGAAACTAGATGATTCTGAAACAAATGAAATATTATGTGTTGTTGTTTTAATTACCAAGTTTATCAACAATAGCAGCAACTCAACACTGACAAAATGAAGCCAGATATAGCCTCTTCACCATTTCTCATAGAAGCTGCCTGTTGGAATTGTTTTGGAAATTTTGCCATGATCCCTAAATTCACCATGGGATTAAAAAAAAGGGGGGGGGGGAACTTCTTATTTACCTCCTAGGGAAAGTGTTGCCCTTATGCCACATATAATAGCAAATTGCTTTTTTTATGGCATGCATAACCTAGATGGGAAAAATATGGCGCTTCAGGGAAGGAGGGAAAAAGTAAATGAAGTTCCAGGAATGTCATTCTGAAGTAATGAGGCATGGACAGAAAATATACCCCTCACATCATCGGATTGAGATGGCAGTCGAAATAGCTTCATTGAAGTGTCAGCACTCATCCATCAATCAATCACCCACAAGGAAAAATAGCAACAGTACAACGGGGCGGCTTTTATGGGATTTACTCATGGGCATAGGGAATAGCGGCTCAAATGTAGTTCTGACATGAAAAGCAAGGTGCTGATATTATTTTTTATGATGGGAGGATCATAAAGTGAATTGAGAACAGCGAGGTCTGTCTTTGCTTAACCTATTCAACCAGAAATGAATGGAACTCAACTGGAAAGGAACAGTCTTCAGATGGGTTAAGATTGAAGGGTGGACTCTGCCGAGCACTGTCCTTCGACAACGAGATTCTATTAAAGGAAAATCAATGCATTAGCATTGGTGTTCCTGAAGCTGTTAAAAATCGCCTGCTTCAACCCAGGGTTGTTAGATAAAGTTACATAATTCAGATCCTACTGCAACCATCCAGAAGCAAATTCGGAGTTTTTGCTCCAGTTAGGGAGAAACAATGCAATTCTAAACCCTTTGGAAATCATTTTCTAAGGAAAAAAAATAATAAATCATCTGCTTCCTCATAGAATCTATATGGCAATTTCTCTGGTGGGATGGGGTGGGAGGCAAGAGACAAAAATATTGATAAATTTGGTAAGACTCATGAATCCTCACTTGGCAACCGGGAATGTCACAGCTAAGGGACAGCTGTTAATGTTCTCCTTAGAAAACAAGATCTGGGCTGGCACTGAGATACATTCCGCTCTCAGTATAATTCTAGAGGCCATGTCTGTCTTCATTTGGCAAGCCCTGTGAGGCTTCTAGAAATCTCTTCCTGGAGAGAAGAACTAAATAACATTAGTTCAAGAGAATAGTTTTACATGCTTTTATACCACTTCTTTCCTTTCTCTGAATAACCCTAGTTCAGAAAAGCTGGAGCTTCAGAAGTGGCAAAGAGAATGACATGTGAATATCATTTCTTAAAGCTCTGTCCCAGCACCTCCCTTTGGTATTAGGGACAGTGAGAGATTGCCTTTCCTTCCCTATCCCTCCTTCCAGCTAAGGCCATCAACCAACTGAAATCTGAAATGGTCATTAAAAAATCACAAATATTTGCATCTTAAGTATTTGGCTCCTTTCGTAGCTCAGCAAATCCAACAAATCTATAGTGTGTTAAAAAGCACCAGCAGCACAAAGCACAACAGGGAACACAATTTATTCAGCAAATTCACCCCCCAGATCTGATCAGGTACCCATTTTGTGCCCAGCTCTGTTCTAGGTGCTAGGAGATGCCCTGGTAGACACTGCACCCAACGACCCCACCCTCCTGTCGCTGAAAGCAACCCATCCAGGCAGCCGACACCAGGTGTCTACCTGGGGGCAGAGTCCACATAGGATCAGAATAAGAGTATTTCAGCATAAGGAGTTTTCCCTCTGAAAATCATTCAGAGAGGAAAGAGCTTTAAAATAGGTCAAAGCCTAAAACAGAATATAATCATGGAATAAATTGGAGACCCCAGACAGTCCCTACAAAATTTCCTTCAGGCTGTAAATAGATCTCTTAAAACTCACCCCATAACATGGCGGCTCAGTTGTTTGACACTTGCATAACTAACATCTTAGGCAAAAGCCTCTGAACTTAGCTGAAATGCAGAAAACAGACAAGTGCAATGACATGTTTAGGGGTAACTGTGTTGAAGCCGTGAGACATGTGTGAGGAGTGTGTGTGTGTGTGCACACGTGTGACAGACACACACGCGAATACATGTATATGAAGGCCGCTGTTGTTTTCCATGCTGCATGCAGAGTGCAGCAATGAGAGTCTGTGATTTTCTAAAACTTTCTGCAGTGAATCCAAAGATCACAGGCCCCCCAAGGCACCTGCATCCTGCGGCTTTTCTATAACTTCCTGAATTATTTGACTATGTTCAAACCTTCTTTTCTTTTTTCATCAGGGTTTCATTTTTTTAAGCTTGTCAAGTGTTTTTGCCTTTAAAAAGACATTAAATGTGCCCTTTTCCACATTATTTTCTCATCTCTGCAACAAGAAATGGTAGTGTATAGACAAATGCTAAAATAATAACAATAATAAGGAAATGTATTAAAGGTTTAAACCTACACACGCATACACATATGTAGTTCTACCGAGCAATAAAAGTAGTATCTATTTTGAACGTGCATTAAGCACCAAAAAAAAAAAAAATCAAAACTGAACTTTCGGTTTATTTTGTTCCCTCTGTGAGATGTTAAAATGCTAATTTCATTTTCTCCCTTCTTCTATGTGGCATTTTTCTCAAAATATCTATGAAATACTCTTAGACAAAGATTGAGCTGGAGAAAGAGATACAAATTTCCATCCCCCCAGACATAGAGATGTGTTTCCATTGTAGGAAAGCATTAAACATTTTGAAACTTGTGAATCATCTTTAGAATTTCAACAGCGGAATTTTACCTCTTCATCCAAAGTAAAAGCCACTTATCTCCTTTGGTTTCCTGTGACAGATTCAGAGGCAGACGCAGATATACAATTTCCAGGCTCTAGTTAATCTTCTTCCAATAGTTACGAACAATGGGCTAACGGGCGTGGGTGTTTCTCCAAAAATTATTCATGCGCAAGGCAGCCCAAAGCTTCAGGGAAAACTAGAAATGTTTTATGGATTAGAATAGGCCTGTTTTAAAATGCTAGTACCAGGTGGAATGCTATTTCTGCAACAGGACTCTGTCCATTTCCTTTGGAAAAATATATTCCAAGTAAAATGGCTATTCCAAGGAGTGACACCCTGGCTTGACAGACTTTGGCACACAAATGATCTTACCAATAGCCATATAATTATCATTAAGGCCTTTTACCATACAGTCTGTTTAAAAAAGACAGATCAAATGCTAACAGCCCTTTGTATCATGTTTATTTGCTTAAAACAGCTTTTGGAAGTACAAGTAATAACTCTTTCATGAGAACCCCCCAGGAGAAGTTGGAAATTTTGAAGAAATGCATTGCTTAAAAAAAAAAAAAAATCTAAGCACTCCCTTCAACCCTTTCAGAAAATAAATTTCAGTGTGCTCGCTGAATTATCTTGAACCTGAACCCTACACTTGGACATCAGTCCCCAGGCAATGGCTAATATTTACAGAAAGAACAATCATGCGATTATGTCGCAAGTGAAGACTGTGCCTGGTTATATTTTCACTTTCTAAATGACTCATATAACATTCAGAAATTATAAATGTGTATGCATTTTTTAAGTACACAAAGTCCCACCAGTCTGCAAAGAAAAAGTAAAACCTACGCCTGTTCTGCATTGAGATAAATACTACAGAAACATTCCAGTCCTGCAATACAATATTTTGGCTTTGCAACACATCAGATATTAAAAGCATGCAACACAGTCAAAAACAATGACCAAAAAAAAAATTGTATTTGGATCAGAGTTTTGAAAGGTCATAACATCCTGGGTTACAATATACTTTTTGGTCTCTGACGCTATCCTTCTAATCCGTTCTAACTTTGATTCCAAACAGCCAAGCAATGTCAGGGAGTCATAAACTTCCAAGCCCCTTTTAAATCAGGAACACAGCCAATCAGAAACAATCTTTATCTGGGCAGCCAGTTCCTGCTCTGCACGGCTTTTGTAACGTTTTAGGAAATCTGGCATCAAATCCTTTACATTATATATTTTCCCCCTTGCATGAAGTCTAGATTTTGAGTTGTTGTTTCTTTTCAAAAGGGCAGTGGAGAAAATGGGTCAGAGTGAGCTTCAAGAATCACATTCATCCTTGCTCTGAAGGAAAGTGTTTATTTGCCAGAGAAGAAAGGCAAACACATTTTTGTATTAGGAAAGCAGACCAGTCGTTTTCAAAGGAAAATGGCTGCGACCATACTTGTACAATGAACGTGTCCGTGCAAGCGCACTAATTTTCTACCACCTGCATGCTGTATATAATACACGCCTGTATATTAGGAAGGAAAATTGGGCTGTTTTCCCTGTGTACCATGCAGCTTGATGGCTGGGTACGTAAGCCTGCGTGCATTTTTATACTGTACATATTTGTATATACTAACGATATCGCCATGTATGAACACAGATTTTGTTCTATCTGCTTGTTTCTGTTTCTTACCAAACTGGTCCACAATGGGATTCTTTTGTATCGAAAAATTATGCTTGTAATTTTTTTCCTGATCATTCTCTTTCCATAGCTTATGAAAGAATTAGATCTGCGTTTACAAAGAAATGATAAGAACCATGTATGTCCGTCTGCATGAGTCCTGTCCAATTGCTGGATCTAGGGAGGAACCAACGTCCTAATTCAGAGTTTTCCTTTCAAGGCATGCTTTACCCCGTGGGAAAACTGCAAACTCATCCATGTAGAATTTTCCTCTTTGTATTTTATCTAATAGTGCCTGAAAATTTTTTTAATGTCTTCTTAGAGGAAGAATTCATAATTGTCAAAATTTGAAACATTAGCTTAATTTTGTTTTTATGACCTCGCGATTCTTCTCCTTATTTATTCGGTTGCTGTTGTAATGGGGCCCCAGGCCATTCCTGACATCGATGTGTTCTTCTTCTGCATTAAGGATGTTTTTAAAATTACAGAGATTATTGAGCCAACAGGCTGTTTTAATCAAAACCATGTTTCACTTGTTTTTGATGATTATAAATTGTCCTTGCAATGAAAAAGAAAAAAAAAAAAACTTTTCTGCTAGGAAGATTATACCACCCTGTGGCCAAACAGATTCATCACAGATGGGTGTCTATGCCCACTTCTCCGGGATCTGGAACATTCTTCCCCTGGCTGGCCACAGTTTCTTGCACTCCCATCATCCTGTCATTAGTTCTCAACGCAGTCACCGTTTGCAAATTTCCAAAGGCCTTTTGCCATCTTGTCACTGCCCAAAGACAAACAACCCTGCTGGAAGTGGTGTCTTTCCAACCTCAGAGAACGCAGGGATTTTTAGAAAAGGGGATCCTTCTTTCATCCCAGAGTGCCTGCAGCTTGTCATCCCTCCTAATTAGATACAATTTGGTCTTAATATCCCATATAACCTCAATCAGATCAAAAGCAACACTGGGACCCACCCCTTGCTGAATAAAAACCAGTCTGAGAGCACTTAACGGTGTGAGCTTGTGCGAGATACCGCAGCCCCAGAATCGTCTGTAGCAGGAGAGGGATTCTCATACAGTTTTATCACTAGGAATAAATTCTGATGGTGGAGATGGAGAAAACCCTTAAATTATATCACAAAAGCCATTATTTTTTACACCTAAAGAGTTTTTTTTTTTTTTAAGGAAAATCATTCTACTTTGAGAACTGTAATTAAAGCCCTAAATAATAGATACTACTTCTTTTAGCTATTGTGAAAAAAATAACAACACACTCTCCAAGGTTGTATGGACCCCCTCATTTCCATCAGAAAGGTTTCTATAAGTATATTATATTTTTAAACATGATAACTCTTTCCTTTGTGGTGGAAAAAAAAAGTGTTGTTGTGTTTTTGTTTTGTTTTTGTTGGTTTTTTTTTTTTTTCCATTCAGCAGTTATTGGAAATAGACTGTTCCCATCTGAAACCTTATTATAATTTGCACCAGGAAACCCAACTGCCGACACTGAGGAGCTGGGTGTGTTCAATTATGACTTTGCTGGAGGCTGCCCCTCGTCGGATGCTGCAGATGTTGAACACCTTTCTGAAACCCAGCGGATCTGACACGGCAGAGACGCCCCTCCACACCGTTAGCTTGGCGAACGGCTTCCTTCCCATCAATAGCGACTTCCGCTTTGGCCCTTCGAAGAAAAGGAAAATTAAAGGAGAGAAGGAAAAAAACAAAAAAAAACAAAACAGATGCACTTAAAACATGAAAAGAATTATTTATATGATAAAAATATATTTAGATTTTCAAAGCACAAGACTGAATAGAAGTGCTCTTTTTAAGCTTTCTGGAGATGTTACTGTTAAATGTCTTTCTACATCAGGCTTAATAAATCTGTAATGACATTTGATGGATTGATTTCTGCCTATGTGTGTTTTTTAAAGATGGCAATAGGAGAGGTGAGGGAGAGGGAGAAGAGAAGGGGAGGCGAAGAGCACCCCAGGGAACTCAGGGGTGGGGGTCCCATGGCCTCTGATGAATAGACCTGCTGATCACCTCCAGCATCTGCTCGCCTCCACCGGATTTTCCCATCTTACAGATGCCAGCCTCTTGCCCATCTTCCCAGCTGCCTTTGCACACGCTCACATCTGGCCAGCTGGTGCCTGAGTAATTTATGATGTCATCTCAACAGAGGCAGGAGCGGCTGTCTCACAAATTCAAGGCTGCAAGACAGAGGCCAGGCGAGATGGAGATGGCCCTGCTTCCCTCTCAGTTTCCCTGTGTGCCCCCCTCCATTTCCTTTAATGGCCTGGGAGAATTGAACCATGCCTCACACACAAGCTGCCCAAGCAGACACTGATGCCCCACCAGAAATGATTTGTGGTCTGCTCACAGCCAGCTCGCAGCTCCCGTGTCGCGTGGCTGCATCAGACCCGGGCTTGTTGAATTATGACGGCCGCAGTGTCACCTGTTAGCTCTGCTTGGCTGCCATGGCTCCATGTCTGACCATAACATATGACAGTCCAGGCTAGAGAAAGCAAGGCAGGTGAGGACAGGGGAGGTGGCAGAGGCAGAGGTACAGACAGGCAGCAGAGACCAAGTCAGAGCCCCTGGTCTGCAGTTAATGTGTATATACTGAGCACCTACTGTGTGCACACTAACAAATGAACGTGGAGATGTGTTTCTGAGAACAGGATGGAGAACCACACTCTGTGTGACATAAGGCGAGACTAGGAAAGAAAAGAACACATTGGGACACTGAATAGAAGGACCATGGAAGCATGAGGTGGCACCCGCCAACCTGAAAAGTCACAATGTTCCCAAAGGGAATGAAGCTAAAGGTAAAGCCTGGGCCATCATGGCTGGAGTTAACGTCTCCAAGGAGCAGCCACACAAGGGTGCACAGCCAGCCACCCCTCCTCCCACGCCAATCCACCAAAACACACTGGATCTGTCCAGTGCTTATCTCTTCTCAGCTTCTGTGTGGCCTCACTGGTTCCCCGCTGGTCACCCTCAAGCCCTCCAACCCCTATCAGTTCTCCACACCGTAGCCAGATGATCTGCCAAAAAGGTAAATCCGATCATGTCATTTCAGTCGTCCAGCCCCAGGGTTATCACACTTTTTCTGTGAAGGGTCAGCTCATGAGCATATTCATTTTGTGGACCATCCAGTCTCTGACCCAGTAACTGGACTCTGGTGTTGTAATGCAGAAGCAGCCACAAACAATAAAAATGGTGTGGGTGTGGGTGTGTGACAATAAAACTTTATTCACAAAAACAAACTGTGGGCTAAATTTTGCCGGCAGACTAGTTTGCCAATCCTGGATCAAGATCCTCCAATATCCAGCTTTCTGTTCGCCTTAGATTGCTCTCCTGTGGAACCAGATGTGGAAATGAAAATGCAAGGTAAGAACAGGTAGGTCACCAAGGAGTAATCTAGATTATAGTAACAGAAAACTCATCAACAAGAAAGCTAAGAATGTCCTTAAAGGGGCTTTCAAAACAATTACTACCATGAGCATTGGTGCCAGTCTCCACCAGGAATCTGGGAGACTGTACAGAACCTGCCTCAGTTATCCTGCCTGAGGGGTGAGAGAGCTGGGGTATTTATACCCCTCCTCTGTTCGGAGATGAGCCGAAGGCTGCTACAGGGTGGGATGAGGTGCATTAATTCCCAAAATGTCCCATCTGCCAAAGCTTGGGAGAATTAGGCTTCAGAATCCAGAGAACATGCAAGACACAGAGTGACAGGTGATTGACGGCAGGGTGCTGAACAGCATGCGGGGAAATGGTTGATGCAAGGAACCCGGACCAGGCTCCCACAGCGCCCCACCTCACCGGGAGTGAAATCCAAACTCCTCCCCCAGGCTGTGTTAAGGCCTGCCTGGTCTGTCCCCTGCTTACTTTCTGACTTAATGTCCCCTTATGCCCCCATCCCTAACTATGCTGCCCCCAGACTGTTCCTAAACAGTACCAGGCTTGTTCCTCTGGTGGGAGCATCAGCCCTCCTGCTGGGCTTCTTCATATCTTTTGTCTGTGAATTTGAGGTCACCTCCTCCAAAAGGCATGCCCTGAACCCTGGTCTAGAGCACACCATGAACATCCCCCTGAAGCCCGAGGACAGGCTTTGCTGTGTCATTCTGGCCTTTGAATATCGTCAGTCTCCCTCGCAGGCCACCATGCAAGAGGAGGAACCCCCATGGGTCTTGCTGCACTTTGCTGTGAGAAGCAAACATCGGCATTCCATGGGCGGCGGCAAATCACTGATCAGCCAAGGAATACTGCTCCCCGAGGCCTGGGAACTCCCCAGTCACTGTCTCCAAAGTGCTCTGAAGTGCTCTCTGCCTCCCAGCACCCTTTCCTCCATCTACTCAGATCCACCTCCTCCTTCCTGTCCCCACAGCAGTAAAGCATCTCTCAGGAGGTCACAGGCTCAGGACCGTGATCCACGGTATCTGGCAACAAATTACTGAGCTGTCTTGACTTTCTGGGTACAGAGGCCTCCGTGAGCTCCACCTGGGTCACAGCGCACGGTCTCAAGGAGGAGCAAGGGGAGGAAGATATGAGGATGAGCCCTGCGCCCAGCAGCAGGCCCAGCTAAGGGTCGAAGGGTGAGAGTTTACTCTAAAGCCAGCAGATTCAAGGGGTCCCTCAAAGCCTAGCAGAGAGACTGGGAGCCTTACAGAGCCAAGATTCCCAAGGAGGAAAGATCAGGCATGACAGACAGACTTTGGGACTCCAGCAAGTCCCAAAGATATCCAATCTGTGTCTTCTGTATTGCAAATTTGCAACTATGATAAACAAACGGGGCACTTAAAAACACTATAATTGAGTTCAGTTTTTCACTAAATGTATGTATTATTGCCTTTTCAAAATTAAAGACTCAAGATTTCAGATAGGTAAAGTAGCAAAAAAAATTCATAATGAGGTAAAGTTCCTATTAGTATAAACATATACTCTAAAGTTCTCATCATTTTAAAAGGCTGAGCAGGCACAAGGGTGCTCGGACAACTCAGTGGAATAAGGCCCTGGCTTATCCTAGGGACTGAAATAACACTTGAACATATCACAAAAGAAAAATTTTAATGAAGAAATGAGGGTAGGGCTGGGGATGTGGCTCAAGCGGTAGCGCGCTCGCCTGGCATGCGTGCGTCCCGGGTTCAATCCTCAGCACCACATACCAACAAGGATGTTGTGTCCGCCGAGAACTAGAAAATAAATATTAAAAAAAAAAAGAAAGGAGGGTATTAATATCCAGTGAAATAGTACTTAGGCAATTGGTAAACTTACCAGAAAATAAAATGAGTTTAAGTATCAGCATTATGTGATACACTGTATTTCAGATGAATTAATTAATTGAATCTAAAAACAAAATCATAAAATACCTAAGGGAAATATAAATAGAGAGCTGATATTAGGCAGTAAGTCACTATCAGCCTTTATTTCTTCCTTGAAAAAAAAAAAACAGGAGCCAAAAAAACACAGGCAAACAAAATAAATACATATGTATACTGTAAGCATAACAAAAAGTCACCAATGGCAGGAAATTATTTGTATAAATTTGTGACTAATGATGACTGCTATAATTGATGATATAACAAGTAGTGTATGTATGCCTCTTTAAAGAAGTGAATAAATATTCAAATAGAACAAAATTTGGCAGAATTCATGAACCAATAGCATACAAATAAACTCAAATGGCTAATAAACATTTAAGAAAATGTCAAGTGACAATAATAACCAGAGATGGAGAGTAAAACAAGAAGAAATCATTTTCGCTTATCAGATTGACAAAAATGAAATAAAATGCCAGCATTATTGGAGAAGGCTCGGGGAAAGGCATCTACATACATTGTTGCTGGGAGCAGAAGTGGGTTGGAACTTTCCAGAAAGTGATTAAATAGTATTTATCAATTTCTCTAAAATGTGTGTGCCCTGGGATTAATTACTCTTCTATAGAATTTCCCTTAGAAAATAATTGAAGAAGTTCATGAGATTTATTTAATAAGAACTCTCGGGGGCTGGGGATGTGGCTCAAGCGGTAGCGCGCTCGCCTGGCATGCGTGCGGCCCCGGTTCGATCCTCAGCACCACATACCAACAAAGATGTTGTGTCCGCCGAAAACTAAAAAATAAATATTAAAAAAAAAAAAAGAACTCTCGGTCACCACATTGGTTAGATCATGAAAAAATAGAAAGAACCAAAACGTTCAAATATAAGAGACTAACTAAATAAACTAGGATACATCCATGTGACAGAATAGCACCCAGTCACAGAAACCCACAGAAACTAGACACACAATTTGCTTGACCCCTGGGACCTAAATTTCCTATTTGATAAACTGGGAATATTTTTTTTTCTTTCTTTCAGTGTTGTGTTAATTAAATAAAATAATCTATGTAAAAAATAGCCACTGTGTATTTATTTAAAAATCAAAAGAAGGAAAGAAGGTAGAATAGGAACATAGTCGCCCCTCCATACCCATGGGCTCTGTATCCACAGAGTCAACCAACCAGATTGAAAATGTTCAAACAATAAAGAGTTGCATCCCTCCTCACCCTGTACAATTTTTCTTGTTATCTTCCCTAAATGGTACTGTGTAACAACCACTCACCCAGCATTCACACTGCGTTAAGTGTTAGAAATCACCTAGAGATGACCTAAAGTACATGGGCAGGGGCTGTGTACACCATGGTAAGCATGAGGGACTTGGGTGTCCTTGGACTTTGGTGTCCCTGAGGGTCCTGAAACCCATTCCCAGCTGACACCAAGGGATGACCGCATAGACAATATGATCACAGATGGAAAGAAAGCTCAGCAATGCTATTGAAGATGAAATGATGAATCATGTTTATTTTATACTCCACTGCATTCTTTTTCCTAACTTCTACAATAATCATATGTTGCCTGCATA